ATGTGATAATCTGTTTGTCTCAAATGTATATGTTCTTTTAACACAATCAGATCAGTTCAGGTGCATTTTATCCTATGATGTTTGGAGTAGTATTAACTTCAGTTATGGAAGAAAAGTCCTTCCCCCTGGGAATATAAAGAAAAGGTATAAGACACCAGCATGGTTGCAAGACCTTCAAAAGCTTGGAAGGCTCCTGAGCTTTCCTCTTTTCTCTCAGGCACTTCTTTTTAGCCTGTTTGGATTTTCATGTAAGTTATTTCCTGTATGCTATACCTTTGTGAAAAAACGTCACGTTCTCTTGAAAAATATCCTTACTGTCTCACCAACCTTCGGTGCTCACAAGCTTCTGCTGGGATGCCACAAATTGCCTTGGATGCCACAAGTGACCAAACCAACAGGAAGGTTTCTGTTTAGGAATTACTATTAAGCTAAATTACTTTTTCAGGCTCTTTCATAGAATCATAGAGTGATTTCAGTTGGAAGGGACCTTTAAAGACCATCTAATTCCAATGCCTCTGCCACAGGCAGGGAAACCTTTCACTAGACCAGGTTGTCCAAAGCCCCATCCAACCTGGTCTTGAACAGTGCCAGGGATGGGGTAGGCACAATTTCTCTTGGCAACTTTTGCCAGTGTCTCACATCCTTATAAAGAACTTCTTCCTAATGTTTGATCTAAATCTATTCTTTTCCTGTTTAAAGCCATTTCTCCTTGTCCTATACTTACATGCCCTTGTAAAAAGTCCCTCTCCAGATTTCTTGTAACCCCTTTAGGTACTGGAAGCTGCTCTAAGGTCTCCCCGGAACCTTCTCTTCTCCAGGCTGAACAACCCATCTCTCTCAGCCTGTCTTCACAGCAGAGCTGCTCCAGCCCTCTGAGCATCTCTGTGGCCTCCTCTGGACTCACTTTCAACATGTCCACATCCCTCTTGTGTTTGGAGTCCCAGACCTGTATGCAGTGCTGCAGGTGGGGTCTCACAAGAGCAGGGGAAAAATCATCTCCCTTGGCCTGCTGATCACGCTCTTTTTGATGCAGCCGAGGATATGGATTGCTTTCTGGGCTGGAAGTGCACATTGCCAGGTCAAGTCAAGCTTCTCATCAACTAGCACTCCCAAGTCCTTCTCCTCTGGGCTGCTCTCAATCCAATTTCCATCCAGCCTGTATTTGTGCTTGTGATTGCCCCAGCCCAGGTGCAGAACCTGGACTTGCCCTTGTTGAACTTCATGAGGTTGGCATTGGCCACCTCTCAAGCATGTCAAGGTCCCTCTGGATGGCATCCCTTCCCTCCAGTATATCAGCCAAACCACACAGCTTGGTGTCATTGGTAAACTTGCTAGGGGCACATCAATCCCACTGTCCATGTCACAGACAAAGATGTTGAACAGGATCAGTCCCAACACCGACTCTTGAGGAGCACCACTCGTTACCCATCTCTAGTTGGACATTGAGCTGCTGACCACAAACTCTGTGTGCAACCATCCAGCCAATTCCTTATCCATTGGGTGGTCCACCCATCAAACTGATGTCTCTCCAATTTAGAGACAAGAATGTGTGGTACAGTGTCAGAAGCTTTGCACAAGTCCAGGTAGATAACATCAGCTGGTCTTTCCTCATTCACCAACACTGTAATCCTATTGTAGAAGGCCACAAAATTTGTTGGTAAAGCCATGCTGACTGTCACCAATCACCTCCTTATTTTCCATGTTTCTCAGCATATTTTCCAGGAGAATATGTTCCATGATCTTGCCAGGCACTGAGGTGAGACTGACTGGCTTGTAGTTCTGTGGGTCATCCTTTAACATTGTTATTTTGACCACACAAATGATGCTCAGATATAAAGATATCACATAAGAAGATTTGTACCCTTGTCTCATATTTTCTTAAAGATGCTGCATCACCACAATAACAAAATAATTTAGTTTGTAAAAAGTAGGCATTATATAAGGAATTCCACTAATTTTGTGTGGTTATGGCTGTGAAGTTGTAGAAGATCTAAATATCTAAAAAAAAAAAGTTTTAAACTAATTTCTACCTCTTGCAGCCCAAGATTATTTGGATTGAAGCTTAACAAGAACTGCTGGTTAAGCACAATGGGAAAAGCAGAATTCCTCTCTGCAGCATGGACTGTTTCTGGAACTGAGAAGCTACAAGAAAACTGACAGCTTTTCTATGTCCTTTGCCTCTCCCTCTGTATAAATATTACCATCCTTGGACCCCTCAGAAAGCATATGGCTAATTCAAAAATCTTTTTGTCTCACTTCAAGCTCTTGCTGATGAAGTGGGCTTTATAATAGTGCTTCAAATTAGCAGTGCTCTGCCACTGAATTAAGTCTTCCTTTCTGGTTTCTTAAGCTAGCCCCACCAATGTAATTGGAAACTAACAAAAATAGTCTTAAATAAATACATGGGGGTATAGGGGCATGCAAACCTTACCAACATGGTAAGAAGGAACAGGAAACCTGAAAATGAGTTGCTTATTTGAAATACCTCATTTTATTATTATAATAATAATTAGTAGTAGTAGTATTATTTTATTATTGTTTAAACCAATTGAAATTTGTACACATTATTACATTACACTTAAATGCCTTATTGAGTAACCAAGAATGAACAGTTTTACTGTCTGCAATTTTCCCTGTTCGATAAAAAATAAATAAAAATTAACACTATTGAAGTGAAATGTATAGTTCCCACTTCAGCTAGTATCCAGCACTATAAACCAGAGATTTCACCTCAGAAGTGGCTGTTGCAAGCAGTCTTCAGGAGGAGAAAACATTTATTTTTATGACAGACTGCATATCACAGGCAAAGTATTCAAATAAAACAGTCTGACTTATGTCAGATGCAATTAAATATGCTATTAAAATTTAAAAGGAAGAGAAATTGCTTGTTGCTTGTAAATGTGCAGTGTTTATAAATATCAAAACTGTTTTGTTCTGCGTACTTATCCTAGGCAAAAAGGAACAAAATGTCTTTGGGGAATCACTTGAGTCTCAAGCATTTTAATTCAAATATAAAATGTAGATGTCCCCTACACCAGTATGGTGTGGGGGAAAGAACAAGTTGTGGGAGTTTGGTAGATGCACTGAGAATGATGTAAAGCTCTTATGCTTTGGATATTCCTCAAAATAAAAGCATGTAATTACTTGGCTAGTTGGAATTAATGCTTAATTGATTTGCTTTACCAGGCACCCTACAGTGATGAGTATGTTTGCTTAAAGAGGAGGAGTAGATGTAGCAATTTAAAGGTATGCAGGTCCTTCTCTTGAACTTAACTTTCATTTTGTGGCTTCTGCATCCACAAAAGGATGAAGTCTTTTCTCTGAGTCCTGTATGACATCTTCTTCAGAAGTAGATTTGTTGTCCTTCATCATCACGTATTTCTTCAGATACTTCCTACTTGCTGTAGGTGTTTACTAGCTAATAAAACTAAAAGGCCTACAAAATGAACTAATGGCATTGTCAGGTCAGATATATTGATAGTATAATCCTCAATGCAAACACATTCTGAGTTACTGGGGAGGTAATCCATTGTATTCAGCTATTCTGCATTATCTTGTCAGTGAGCCTTTGGCAGACGGGAGGTCATTGCAGTCTCTGTAAGAGCTCTGTATTTGAGGGTAGGATGGAGAATTTTCTGAGTGCTAGGAAGTTAAGGACAGAGGTAAATATTCTCAACCTTTTCAGGTTTGTATTTGCAAAGAAATACTTAGTTGTAAAGTTAATTAATGTGATTAATTTTAATATTATTCTGATGAGAGAAATTCCAAAGGGGTTGTTTATAGATACAGGAAGATTTTATTTCTTCTTTACAGTACAAACAGTAAGCAAATATGGTTGTTTTTCCTTGTATGTTTGTTTTGGGGTTTTTTGGGGGGAGAGGGCATGCATATTCCCTTCATCATGATCAAGAGACAAATAAGTATCTTCCATATGTTTTATACAGTGGACCATAGGTACTGATACTAGTAAAGTACTGAATCACATAGCTAATAAAATGGAGAAGGTTTGTATTAGCAAGTTTTCCAGTCAATTAACCATTTACTTTTAGGTTATAAAACATAAAATAGGATACATGCTATTGCTGTCCATAATTTAATTACAGATAATAACCAGTCAAAAGACAGCAAATGCATAACACTTGAGACAGAAATTAATTTATTTTAAGCTGTAAAATTCCTTGCCTTGTGTTTCCTACTGACCTCCCCTATCATGAAAATACCTTGATGTTTTGCTTCCCTTTTGCCCTCCTCAGCAAGTGGAATATGAGGTTATTGCCTTGTTTGTAGCATTGCAGAAAGTAAAAATAGAGGTAGTTGAACACGAAGCCATAATACAGCTACTGTGATAACAGGTGAAATTCTGACACTCTAAGAGAAGAATGAGTCATAGATGCAGAAAACATTGAGTGGTTTGAGGGACAAACAGAAGTGAATACTGATTCACATCCATTTATTTGCTCATGTTCTGAAATGACATCCATAGGCATCTGGAATAGAACAAAAAGGTCGGTTTGTGCTGATACAGTGATACAAGCTATGGGTTTCTCAAGTGGCAGGTGGAGGGTGTTCAGATGTTCTTGTTGCTACATTTCATAAACGAAGGCGGAAGTAATGACATTTCTATCAACAGGAGAGTGAACATTTCACTTTTTTAATGTCAGAGCCACTGGAACCAAATTCATCGCTCTTGGCTGTCAGGGAGTACCATTAAGCCAATGGTACTACTTAAATTTAAGTTACACACAAGGGCACCAGCCCTGGAAGTAGGTCATTATTCTACTCATCATTCTTCTATTTGCATCAAATAAAGCCTAGAATGAGACTGCTGGTTTTGCTCTGGTGAAGCTCTGTTAGTGTTTTAATATATTTCTGATGAAACAAGTGGGATTTCTATTAAGGAAAAGACAAATATCTTGTGCTGTCTTTGCAGCCAATATATTCTATCTTTTTTTTTTTTTTAATAGTCAAAATGTTACATTTCCATTAAAAATTTAATTTAGGGTAAGATGGTGAAAGGAATGGGAGGTGCCATGGACCTGGTATCCAGTGCGCAGACCAAAGTGGTTGTCACCATGGAGCACTCAGCCAAGGTAAGGCTTTGTCATTTCTTTCTAGATAAGTGTTTTGTACTGTACAAAAAAAAAAAGGCATAAAAAAGTAAGAAAAAGACATCTTACATTCATGCTACTACTTTGTAAGGATTTGATAGTTTTGCTGTTAGTTATTATAGAGGTGCAACAGGAAGCTCGGTTAGTATGGTTCCTTTTCTCTGTAAGTGAATCATTCACTATGAAAAAAAAAAGAAAAAAAAGAAATATTAAGCTGATGTTCAGAAGCTGCACACAGTTTTTTAGTTACTTTATACACGTTTAATGAGGGTGGCAATTGCCAAAGCTACAGTAGATGCTACCCCAGAGGTTTTACTCTTTGCCTCAGAGTAATTTGAAAAATGAGGTTCCCCATGGTTAAATACTTGTTATGATGGAAAGGTGTTTACCTTTGAAGTTGCCAATCAAATTGGTATTGACAGCTTAATAGCACAAATGTTTTTGGCATGATGAGATGCTGACTGCCTTACAACATTATGTGGTCCGAGGCTAATCTAGAGACTTCTTTGTGGGTGGAGTTTTATAGATATAAACAGTTTCCTACAGAAGGTCAAAGAATCTTGTCATTTCAAACTCCTAAAATGGCACTGTCCAAACTATAAGAAAAATGTACTGAAGGACAAATATCTCAATTTTCAGGGAAGTATACCAAATATTTAAAACTGAACTTTTTTTTTTTTTTAATTCTTGTGGTTTTTTCATTCCGACTTTGTTGGAATGAAAATTATTGAATGTCTGCAATAGGAATTAGTTGTGTGTTGTTCAAGATAATATCCCTGTCACCATGCATAAGGGCAAGCATAAGGAATTTGCATGGTAAACTATAGTAAATAAGTAAATATGAAAGCTAAATATATTAACAGTTATGTGTTTTTACATATTGTTTGAATAATGAATTTTCACTTCAAAAATTTGTTATAAGATATAGTAATTTCACAGTTTAGTAACCTGTGATCTCAAGGAGCACATTTTTAGTAGAAGGGTTGAGTCTGACCCAATAATTTCTGTGTGTATCTGTGTAAATAAATAAATTAATGTACAAAAGCAAATGCACTTATATGAATCACAGCCTACCACAGCCACCCCAAAACTGGATATGTAATTATCCATTTACTCAGAGATGTACTTCAGGTACTAATTCAGGTACTATGCTCTGAATAAATATTTGTGGTAAATTTCTAGTTATTGTGGAATTTGGTTAAGACTCAAGAATACACACAAATGTAATTATTCATGCCAGTTTTTCTCTTAAAAGTGGTATTACCAAAATCTTTTCTTCACTACAGTTCAGAAGTTTTTGCCAGCAGGAGCACAGAAACCTGAAAAAGATGGAAGTATAGATATGTCCACTGTTACAAACAGTCCAGGCACAGACTTATTTTTATTGGTATATACACCTAACTTGGGCTTTTAAACACATGGGATGCCTGGTGAGCCAGCTGCAGGCTTTCAAACATTATTTCTTTTGCTTTTGTGAGAACGTACTGCAAAACTAAGCTATATGCATGATTTTTAATTTTACCCTTATTTTCAAAGCAGGTATTCTTTACCTGCTGGTTTTGGGGTCTTCATACTGCTTCTTCTTATTTGCTCATAAGTGAAGACAATATGAAATATGAAAATCTTATATTCAAACTCCAAAGCTGCTCTTAAAGTTTTCAGGTGCTCCTGTTTTGTTTTCTTTTTCCTCCTCCTTTTCTTTTTTTTCTTTTGTTGAACACAAGCAAATATAGCACATGTGAGACCAGTTCTGAAAGTCAGAATCTTCTTGTAGGGGTGACTGTTTCTTACAGAGCTGATTTTATATTCACAGTTTGCTAATTCTTTACACCAGATATTTTCTCATAAACTTACTGCATCTGTATCTATGCACCAGAGGAACATTCTTCCATCCTGCTCAAAGCCCAGAGTACTACTGAGTGAAAGAAATGTCTGCATGTACTGTGACAGTCTGTGGTGTCTGCTGGTTTTTTAGTATAGGGTCACTTTTGTCATCTTACTCTCCAAATAAATAATAAGTCTATCATTAACTCCAAAGTCTTGTGTAAATCAACAGCAGTCAAGATTTGATGGATGGAAATAAAGTGAAAGGCTTGGGATGTACACAGTACTTTCAATTGACATATTCAAGAGTTGCTGGAATAGGCAGTTCTTGCAGTCAGTTTTGTCTGATTTGTGATCTTGTGAAGGATATTTCAATCCTTTTCAATTTTTTTTGTGTAATAGTAACAGATTGTTAAGCAGTAAAATAAGTGTTTTAAGAGTTTTAAAGTGCATTCTCCTTTCAGTACACATATTGCAGTTTTTAAACATAGGGATAGGCTGAGTGCTTTCAGGGGAGGCAAAATATTTAACTGAATTATGAGGGTGAAACTAGAATCTGTCTTAACACTGATAAATTGATATACAATATATTACAACTAAACCTAAATATGCACTGCCCCAAACTATTTGCATTTTTACTTACTAAAATTTTTACTTGTAATTTAAACCAAAAGATACAGAAGAAAGATAACAGAGCATAAAATTAATTTTCTACAAGATTCTTGGGGTTAAGGAATGCTATTTTGGAAATGTGACATCCAAATAAAAAAATATAATAATGGCATGGAGTAGATGGATGCAGAATGCTAGTCACTGCCTTATAAAAGAAGTAGGGTAGTTGACTGAAATTAGCAACCGCCATGTATAAAGAAACAAGAAACAGTCATCTAATGAAGTTGTGGATGATTGGCAGGACAATGCAGGAGCTCAAAGAATTAAGCTTATATGAAAGGAACTAAACTGTTTTATGATCTTAAGTTCATCAGTGACAATTAAATAGCATTGCCCAAAAGCAGTCTTTAGCTCAGAAAATCTATCCATCACAGCATGGCAGGAACCAGGAGCACATGTCTGTGGAAGGGTATCTCAAGTTTTGGTCCATATGCTTAGGCCACTGTAAGAGATTTTGCAAACGGACCTTAAGTTTAATTCATTGTTGTCGTGGTTCAAGCCCAGCCGGCA